ATCACAGTACTGGACATATACCCAAAGGAAATGAAATCGATGTACCAAAAAGACACCTGTATTCCCATGTTCTTTGCAAAGCTATTCATTATAGCCAAGAGACGGAATCAACTTAAATGCCCATCAACGGATGAATAGATAAAAAAAAATCATGTTATACATACACAATGGAATACTATTCAGCTCTAAAAAGAAATGATATCCTATCACTTGCAGCAACATGGATGGAACTGGAAACCATCCCGTTAAGTGAAGTAAGTCAGGCACGGAAAGACAAACACCACATGGGCTCGCTCATAAGTGGAATCAAAAAAAAAAAGTGGTTCCCACAGAAGTAGAAAGTATAGAATAATAATGGTTACTAGAGGAGGGGAGGGGAATAGGGGGAAGAGAAAGGGTAGAGTAACAGGCACAAAACTATGCTATCTATTCTAAGTGAATCATTGTGCAGCATATGCACGTAATGAAACAACACACTGTTCCCCACAAAAATAAATATAAATAAGATTTAAAAAGTAATTTAAAGGTCTGATTTTGATTTTTGGGGGTTGCATTAAGTACTTAAAAATGAAGACTCAAGGCCGGTCCGTGGCTCACTCCGTAGAGTGCGGTGCTGATAACACCAAGGCCACGGGTTCGGATCCTATATAGGGATGGCCGGTTTGCTCACTGGCTGAGCGTGGTGCTGACAACACCAAGCCAAGGGTTGAGATCCCCTTACTGGTCATCTTTTAAAAAAAAAAAAAAATGAAGACTCATACCTATATTTATGTTTAAACATATTTAAATATCAGTACAATGGGGCCGGCCCGTGGCTCACTCAGTAGAGTGCGGTGCTGATAACACCAAGGCCCCGGGTTCGGATCCCATATAGGGATGGCCGGTTCGCTCACTGGCTGAGCCTGGTGCTGACAACACCAAATCAAGGGTTAAGATCCCTTTACCGGTCATCTTTAAAAAAAAAAAAATAATAAATATCAGTACAATAAAATAAACTAACACTGGGTGTCTAGCAGAATTTTTTTCTTTTAGAAACAAGGTTGATACATTACTCATGTTAAGTAACACTGATATATTGGATGGGGAGTTAGATGATGTGACCTCTTACATCTCTTCAACTATAATATTCTGATTCCAGTCTTCTATACTGCCAAGAAACTGAGACATGAAATGTTGAGACTGAGGCTATACAGAAGGAATTCAGGAGGGAGTCAAAAGGAGAAAGCAAGGCATCCTTATACCAGACACCAGACCAGACCAGGTATTACTAACTGACAAAGCTTTCCTAAACAATAATGTTCCTAAAAGCATTCTGCTTACTGGCATCTCAAAAATCTCTAAGGAAGAACTGAAAAACGAAGCAAAATGTTTCCCAACATTAAAAGAAGCAAAAAAGGGTTGGCCCTTGGCTTACTTGGGAGAGTGTGGTGCTGACAGCACCAGGGCCACGGGTTCGGGTCCCCATATGGGATGCCGGTTGGCTCACTTGGGTGAGTNAAGGAAGAACTGAAAAACGAAGCAAAATGTTTCCCAACATTAAAAGAAGCAAAAAAGGGTTGGCCCTTGGCTCACTTGGGAGAGTGTGGTGCTGACAGCACCAGGGCCACGGGTTCGGGTCCCCATATGGGATGCCGGTTGGCTCACTTGGGTGAGCGTGGTGCTGACAGGACCAAGTCAAGGGTTGGGATCCCCTTACCAGTCATCTTTTGTAAAAAAAAAAAAAAAAAAAAAAAAAAAA